CCAGATCAGAGTGCCCCCTCACAGGCCAGAGAAGCCCAAGGCCTCCTGGAGCCAGGCCCTTCCCTTGTTGACTGAGTGATGTTGACACTCTCTGTTCCACCACCGCAGGAGTGTCCTGCTGGTAATACTCTGCACAGGGAGCTAGATAAGGTCTGCCAAGTTCACCGTGGCCCTGAAGGCTGCTGAGGGAGAGACTTGTTGCAGCCATGCGTCCCCCTCACTCCAGGCTCCATGCTGCTGGCAGATCAGGCACTGTCAAGGTCAGTCTGCTGTAGAAATCCAGGGGCTATGGCTCGTCCGTTGGGTGGGATGGGAACTCCCGCTGGGTGGATGAACGTAGCCGGTCATGTGATCTCCCACTCCCCAAAGAATTGAAGAAAAGTTGCTGCAATGGCACTGACATCTGGTTTGGCCTCTTTAAATAGGCACCAGCAGCGGTGTCAGGAGTGAGGGGCATGGGTGGAGCTGCATGTGGGGAGCCCAGCGTGAGGATAGCAGGAGGCTGTGGGTCAGGATTATGGGGCACTGGCTGAGCTGCGGGTGGGGGGAACCCAGGGCTGGTACAGCAGGGTGGGGACTGCAGGTTGTGACCGAGGAGCTGTGTGAGGAGCCCATGGGGCAGGGGATTTGTTTGTTCTAAGGGTTCCTCTCTCCCCTTCCCTGTGGTCTTAGAGTTGAGCTAGGTTAGGTGGGTTTTACTCTGCACAGAGGGGTCTTTCCCGACTCCTAGTCCAGGGCCCAAGTGCTGAGGTGCCTGAAAGGCTAAGTTAGAAACTCCAGGGGAAGGGGAGGGTCAGGGGCTCTGTCCCGCCCTGGCTTTGGGATTGTGCGTCAGAAAGCTGCCCCTTCTCTGGGAAGGGGAACAGTAGCTGAGTTTGTCCTCCCAATTTCCTGGCCGCTCTGTGGGCCTGAGCCTATGAAAGCTCCTTTCATGCCTGGTGAGTGCTGCCGAGCTCTGGCTCTGTGGTGCTACCTGTAACACTAGCCACCCTGTTGGAGAGGGGAGGGACCTGGTGCGTGGAACTGTCTGGCGGGGCCTGCTAGCTAAAGGGATAGAGCGAGCCATTGTCCGGCTGCACCCTCCCTTTCGCTTTGGGCCTGGGATACCAGAGCTGTTACTCCTCCCACGGGGGCTTGGAGGGGGCCAAGGAGGTATCAGCAGACACCACCCAACTACCAAACCGTTTATCACTCACCCTCTCTGAAATCTCCCCAGCCCTAGGGATTATCAGTGGTGGAGGCTGGCCTTAGCTCTCTCCCTGGCTGACCCCTCCTGCTATCCTCAGCACAGGTGTTGGTCCAAGTATCAGGTGGGAGGGATATACCCTGTCTGCTAGCCCCGACCCCACTCCTGCAGTTCAATGTAGTTTAAATCTGACCTCAGTGAAGCAGGGGGCACGTCTCCTGCTGGCCCCACCCCAGTGCCCAAGGTACCATGGCCACTGTGATCAATAAGGATTTAATTCTGAATGAGGACAATTCAGACAAGTTAGGTGGGGGGGTGTATGTAGTTTCACCCCAGATGCCTACGGTTGGGCCCAGGGGTTAACGTACAAGAACCCCGTGTGTGTGTCCCTTGCTGCAGGAGATGCTAATGAGGGGAGCAGAGGTGGGATTTCTGTGGGATGGTGCTAAGTCAGTGATGCCCTCAATGTCGCTAGCAAGAACCCAGTCTGCACAGAAATGTTCTCGGGCCCCTCTTCCTTAGGGACACCAGGGTTATCGAACTGTTTCCCTGCTATGTCAGCACCCAGCTGTTGCAGCATGTGATAATGTGAACCAGACAGCCCCAGAGAGGAGCAGCGGTTTGAACTTCTCTGGGCTGAGAGTTTCTGTATTGTTAGTCACACGAGGGAGGGAATTTTCTGCGCAAATTGCGGTGTCTGTCTTGACAAGGTCCTTAGAGTTTGGGTGTCCCTTTCTCAAGGCTGTTTGGGGAAGGGAAATGCCCCCGAGGCCTTTCCCTGAGAGGGAAAGGAGGGGTTGTAGGTGGTGGGATGTCAAAGGCAACTTTCTTTCCTGTCTTTAAGGCCCTGTTACTGATATAGACTCTAGGCTGCTATAGGTTAAATTTATATCCATGATCCCCATAGCCCTGATACTGAGGGTCCTCAATGGAGGCTCCCTTTAGGACCCATCAATGCGCCTTTGTTATAATGAACACTTTACCCTTCTCTGGCCCCTTCCATGAGAGGACCCCGCAGCACTTGAGACATTAATTCAGCCTCGCAGCCCCCGTGGGAGGATACTATCATCATCCCTATTTTACAACCAGGTAAACGGAGGCGTGAGCCGGGGAAGGGACTTGCCCAAGGCCACAGATTAAATCAGTAGTTGCCAGGAATAGAACCCAGGAGTCCTGACCCCCCAGTGCCCTGATCTAACTTAGTAGGCGGTTCTGACCCAGTCTAATTGCTGTGGGCAGGTGTGTGTATAGGAAGTCATCATTTGGGGGATGCAGTGACCCTAGTATCCGCTGACCCAGATCTCCACCTTGCATGCAGGCCTTGTTCCTGTTCTTGTAATGTAACGCTGTCCCAGGAGATGAGTTGGAGGTGAGGGCGATGCTGGGCCTATCCCATGTGGGGGAGAACCCCAGTTGGACCCTGTGGACCCCTACTGTGTTAATGGTGGCAGATTGGTGGCTAAGCCGGTGTGGTGTGAATGCTGGATACTCCCAAGGAGGGTGGTATTAAAATTCCCACCCCATATGCCTATGGGAAAGTTCCTGAGCCCAGATGCTCTCTCTGGCGTTGAGGATGAGCCTTGGAGATTGGAGAGCCTCTCAGCTCTAGCGAATGGCCTTGCACATTCTAAGCTCTGTGTGTCCCGTCATCACCTTCCCCACCTCCCCCTGCTGCAGCAGGATGTGAGGGGTGGCTCCCAGCTGGGCCCTCCCCTGAGCCACCGCTGCTGTTTGCTTTACAGGAAGGTGCTGAAACAGGAGCTGCAGGGTGGGAGCTGCTGCTTCCATTTCGTGGCTCCCTTCCCCCCCCCCCCCATAAAAGTGCGGCTGAAGGTGAAACACCTGCCAGTAAGAGCCCCAAAGAGGAAAAGCATTTGGAGCTGGTGTGTGTGTAAAGCCATGTCACTAGCACCATCCAAGACGCTCCGAGAGCCCGAACGTTCAGAGCTGCAAACGCCCTGGCTCCTAAAACCCGAGCAAACAACATTCCTTTCTCTTGTGCCCTTGACCTCCAAGCGCCCTGCACACTGGAGTTGCTTCACCCACCCCCGAAACGTAGCCACCTCTGGGGGTGGACGCAACAACTGTTTGACAGTCTCACACCAACACCCGACGAGAAGGGAGGAAGACTCCTGTACCCAATTGAAACTGGGGAGGCGTTTAGGGAGGCTGAATGGAATTTAGCTGGGACGCACTTCAAACCGCTGAGAAGTTTTCCCCTGTTCCCTGGTGACTTACACCAATGTTCCATTTGGGCTGAACTTTGATCACAGTGTCGCGTGTTGAAGGTGCACCTGGGTAACTCCCAAAGCAGGGGGAGGGGACCTTACACTCCCAGCTTGCCTCTGACTTGGTGACTGGGAAGGTGGAAGGAATCCTGGTGTTGCTGGCTGGGCCAGTGGCCCCCCTGCAGCTCACCGCCTGGATTGCCTTCTCTTGGCAGGTTGTGCCTGGCTGTCATGCTGGCTGCTCTCCCCACCATGGCTGCCAATGAAGTGGTATCGGCCGCCCTACAGGACTCGTGGGGGGACTTCTGGCTCTTCCGTTTCTTCCTTAATGCTGCGGGCTATGCGAGCATCATGGTGCCAGGGTTTCTGCTCATCCAGTACTTCAAGAGAAAGAATTACCTGGAGACAGGTAAGAGGGGACCAATGCACCTCAATTCCAACCTCCGTCCCCCTGGGCTCGCCTCAGACCTCTGCCAATGCACCTCAGTTCCAACCCCCAGCTCCTCTACCTCTCTGCTGTTCCGGCCCCTTGCAGAGCTCTCTCGTTGCTTCAGTGCCAGCTAGGGGCTACCCGGAGACAGCCAAATTCATCTAGCTCATCTCCACGGCTTTATCTCAACAGTGACCACTGTGGCTGTTTCCTGTTAGATATTCTGGAATCTGTTAGAGCAATCGGTATAGGGCACTGTGGGTAATGCGCAGAGCCCCTCAGATCTGCAAACGGGTGAGCTCTCAGCTCTGGGTGCCTGCCTACTGTCTGTTCTCAGCTGGGAAGGGCCCTGTTGACAAAGGAGGATTGGGGGTGGGAGTGAGCCAATTGAAGGTGCTTTATAGATACAGGCCACAGAAGGCCCCAGGCTCTACCTTGCCACAGCCCAGACAGGTTGGTGGGTGGGTTAGCACTGGCAGGGGGGTTTGGGAGGGAAGAAAGCCTCCCTCCTAAGTTAACGTGACCTCCCTGGTTCTCTCAACCCTCCAGGCCGCGGCATTTGCTTCCCCGTCATCAAGTCGTGTGTCTTTGGCAGCGAGGCCAAGTCCGCACACCCAGATGACATCTCCCTGGCGGCTCGGAATGAGACCATGGAGTCCTCGACGGCCCAGCAGATCCTCAAGCTGCTCTTCTGTGCTGCTGGCCTTCAGGTAGAGCCCTGACATGTTCATAGCCATCCTGCCGTGGGGCGGAGATGGAGCAATGACCTGGGGCAGGTTGCCAGTTGGTGGCCTCAAGAGACTGAGTCCCAGCAGCCAATGTTCTCATGGAGTTTTGCTTGGCAGCATTGCATGGTGGGACACGTAGTCTCTGTGGGGCACTCCTTTTTTGTGTGCTCCAGGCTGCTTGCCAGGGTGGCCCTTTGAGTGTCTTGGAGAGCCATTCAGACAACGTCTGGTGGGCTGGAAGCTATTGTCTGTCTGCTCTGTGCTCTCCGCACACCTGAATGGGTGAGCTACTGCCATTTAGAACTGGTTTTTGAATTTCGTTCTGGCCCCCCCACTGTGTTTCATGCATCAGAGCACTATGCAGTTTAACCCGTGTTCTCACCTCTGGGGCTGGAATGTCCTAAACTCAGGCTCTGCCCCTAGGTAGATTTGATTAGGAAACTGAAAAAAATCTCTCCAGTGTTTGAGTTCAGCTGAGATGAATAGGAAACTGTGATCCTGCTTCTTTGAGTCATAGCTACAGGAAAAATGCCCGAAATGCTGCCTGAACAATGAGAGGAGGGACTGCCTCGTGATGGAGGCACTGGATGGGGACTCAGGAGATCAGCGTTCAGTTCTTGGTTCTGTCACAGACTCGCTATGTGATTTAGGGCAAGTCACTTTCTCTCTCTGTATGTCAGTTTCCCAGCGGTACAGTGGGAGGTAGGAGAATAACTCCATTATGTCTGTGAGGAGCTCCAATACTGTGGCAGCAGGGCCATATAAGTACCTTGATGGACAGATGATAGTCCTCACAGAGGGCAGTTTCCTCTGGGTTTGCAATTAGAATTGGTTTTGATTTAAGAAATGACCTAGGAAACTAAATGCAAAAACCTGTGTTAATGCACCATCAAGGCTGCGGAGTTAAAGAGCAGGAACTGCAGTGTGAAGGTTCCACCGGCATCAGGATCTTGGGCACATCTTTGCCATGTTGTCTATTCCTGTTTTTCTGGTTAAACAGGCAGCTTAATACAGAACTGTTTATCTTGTGAAGTGTATCCCATAAAGTGTACTAGGGCAGAGTTAATGCGACTGCTGGGACACTTGCTTTGCCATTTCCTGTGTTGTTTGAGTTTGTGGCTATGCACTCGAGAGCCGGAACAGGTTTTTCATTGGGTATTTACAGCCTTAACTGTAGGGGGAGCTGGCCGCGGGCGGAGAGTGCTCTCCAGATCTGTGCGTAATGAAATGCTGCCCATTGATCCCTCTGCACACAGCTGGGCAGGAGCCAGGCTGATTTCTCCCCTGGCTCTCTGGTGGGGGCAGTGGGAGTGAGGATGAAGTGGCTGGGCAGGCCGGTTCACTGCTCCCCAGCTGGATGTGGTGGTGGCAGGCACCATCTCTTTGCTGGGTGCATTGGGTATGCAGGAGGGGGGCCTGGTCCCTGCTGGGTGCAAATGGAGAGATGCTCAGACAGGACTGTTCCTCCCTGCGTGCGGTGGCTGCTGGCTGCCATCCCTACTCCTCACTCGCCCTCTGCTCTTCGTGCCTTGCAGGCTTCCTACCTGACGTGGGGCGTCCTCCAGGAGCGGGTCATGACCCGAACATATGGGGCCACCGAGACAGATCCTGGTGAGAAGTTCAAAGATTCCCAGTTCCTCGTCTTCATGAACCGGATCCTGGCCTTCACCGTAGCCGGCCTGTACTGTGCCCTGACCAAGCAGCCGCGCCACGGCGCCCCCATGTACAAGTATTCCTTTGCCTCGCTCTCCAACATCCTCAGCAGCTGGTGCCAATATGAGGCACTCAAGTACATCAGCTTCCCTACCCAGGTGCTGGCCAAGGCCTCCAAGGTGATCCCGGTCATGCTGATGGGCAAGCTGGTGTCGCGCAAGAGCTACGAGTACTGGGAGTACCTGACGGCGGTGCTTATCTCGGTGGGGGTCAGCATGTTCCTGCTCTCCAGCGCCCCCACCAAGCACCTCTCCACCGTCACCACCTTCTCAGGGGTGGTCCTCCTGGCCGGCTACATCGTCTTCGACAGCTTCACCTCCAACTGGCAGGACGCCCTCTTCACCTACAAGATGTCCCCGGTGCAGATGATGTTTGGGGTGAACGTCTTCTCCTGCCTCTTCACGATGGGCTCGCTGCTGGAGCAGGGCGCCCTGCTGGAGTCGGCCCGCTTCATGGCCCGCCACTCCGAGTTCGCAGCCCACGCCGTGCTGCTGTCCATCTGCTCCGCCTTTGGCCAGCTCTTCATCTTCTACACCATCAATCAGTTTGGGGCGGCCGTCTTCACCATCATCATGACGCTGCGCCAGGCTTTTGCCATCCTGCTCTCCTGCCTCATCTACGGGCACGCCATCACCGTGGTGGGCGGGCTGGGCGTGGCCGTGGTCTTTATGGCTCTCTTCCTGCGCGTCTATGCCCGCAGCCGCATGAAGAAGCATAGCAAGAAGCTGCCCGTCGGCGAGGTCCCAGTGCAGAAGGTTTAGGGGCCATGGGACAGACCATGCCCTCCTCCCCTCTCCCACTGCAGGGCACTTGCTTTATTTCTGTTCTCTTTGTGAACCTATTGAGGAGAGGAGGAGAAACAATGACTCCCTTTGCCAACTGCTTTTCCTGGACAAGGAGCTGGAGTGGGCTTGGAGGAAGTGAGGTGCTTTCCGGGCCTCCACCACACCTTTCTCCTGTTGCCTTAATAGGTCTGAGTATTTCACTTCCCTGAGATCACCCCAGGAACGGAGCAGGGGGCAGGTCTAGTTCCCAGGAGTGCAGTGGGGTTAACTCCTGCCCTAGCTCCATCTGGTACTCGGGGCTTCTCTTGAAGATTATTTATGAACAAGGGAGCTTTATTCCCTGGCACTTTCTTGTCTCCAGCTTCACTCCCCATTTCTTTCCTCACTACAGAGCCGATAGTAAGAGAACGGCAAGAAAACACTATCATTTTTCTTTACAAATACGTATGATTGAGAGAGAAGCTCCAGTCTCAGCCTGCCCCAGCAGCAGGTGGTGTAGGGAGCGGGGCAGGAGCGCTGGCTGGACGGGGGGGCAGCTCTCAGCTACATCAGTCCCTGCCTTTCCCAGCAGGAGGCGCTGTTGGGAACGGGGCAGGAGCATGGGGCCTCCCTAGCCACATCCCATTACCAGGGCTGGTAAAAGAGCTGCTGCGTAGCAGTCTGAATTTGTGGCAGGTGCCTCTTGAACAGTAGCCTTGTCCTTGCTGGCTTGGCAGGTCGCGCTCTACGCTGTCCCTGCTGGGAGCCTTCTCCATTTCTGTCTCCTGGCCTGGCCCTTCTGCTCCATTCCGTTCGCGTTTTGTGCTGCTTTTCCTTTCTTGTTTACGTTTACTCTTGTCATAGGTTTGAACTAGAACTCCCAGGATCCCCTAAGGGCTCTTTCTGCTCTCTGGCTTCGGGGATTCGTAATTGGCTCCTGCCCTTTAGAAAAGCACAAAGATCCCCTTCCTGGGATATCCCTCCTTGTTTCTCCTTTTTCCTGCCAGCAGGAGGTGCTAGCACCAGCCCACTCAGCAGCCTAGCTAGGGCTTTGTGGTACGCAGCGGTCCCGGAGACAGGACAAAGCCCAGCCCAGGTTCCTTTTCCCTGCACGTGGCTGCTCTCAATCCTGGATGCAGGGAGCCACTTGCCCTGGCTCCACCTCGGGAACCTGGGTTTGACCCAGTAACGGTTTTGTTTCCAAACAGACCAGGCCTCCCCCATCTGCTAGGGGAATGGTTTGGGTACTTTTAAAATGCAAGTTGGTCTCTTTTTATTTTATTAAATTAAAAAGCTGCTGCAAACAGTGCCCCTGGGTGGACTGTTGGGGTCTGAATGCTCTTGGGGGCGGGGGGAAGACACTGCTCCTGGGAGCTCTCTGGCTAGGGACTTTGATGCCATTGTGGCTGAAGGGTGCACACTGACTTTCTCACCCCCTCCCCCTGGGGCAGCAGGGTAGCATTATTAGCCCCAGCCTACAGATGGGGGAACAGGCCCAGGGCCTTGCCTGAGGTCACCCAGGAATGGTGGGGTGGACCCTGGTATTGAACCCAGCTCTCCTGAGTTCTAGTCTAGGGCAGAGCCAGGTTCAGGGGTTTGGGCTCGCACTGTGTCCCAGCCTGAGCCCTCTGCACACGCCGGCTGCTCATTGTCCCTGTTTGTGTGGCTGGGAGGGCAGCTGTTAGCTCTCTGTGCCCTGAGTCTGGCTGCATAAATGTCTTGTTCCTGGGCAGTACGCTCTGGTCAGCCTGCCTGTAGGTTCAGCCATGGCCTCTTCTAGCTCTGCCTTCCACTGCTGAGTAGGGGCCACTCTATGCCCTGCTGAGCGCCTGCCACCCAGAGTCTCCATTGCTGTAACAGGCCGTAAAGGAGTAAAGCCTTCATGGAGCTGTGTTCTGTGCCAAACCCCAGCTTCAGACCCTCCACCCTAGAGGAGGAAGGTGTGGGGAGCAGTTAGTCAAGAGCTAGCAGGATGGAAAGCTGTTTGAAGAGCCAGGGACTAGCCTCCCTGCTAGGCTAACACTGTTCCATAAAAGTGCTCAGATGACTTCACTTGTGGTCACCTGCTCTCAGAAAGGATTGAGCAGCAAGAGAGGGGGTCAGAGCTGGGTGACAATACTCAGTGACTGGGAGAGACTTCCATGTCAGGAGAGACTGAAAAACGCAGGGCTGTTTTATTGGAGAGATGAAAAGCGAGGACATGAGTGATCTATAAAAGGTAGGTTGGCCATTGCTCTTCAACCTTTGTCATAACACCAGAGCCAGGGGCTATGCTGACACTGAAAGGTGCCAAATTCAAAATGGATAAAAGGAGACACTCAGGTAGTGACTGTTAGTCTGTGGAACTCACTGCCACACTATTCTACAGTGGCGAAGAGCATAGCAGAATTCAGAAAAGGAGCAGCCATTTGTATGGTTAATGAGAACTGCCCCATTCAGACTGCTGGTTAAAAATAGAAAGGTGATAAACCCCCCTGCTTCAGAGCATATGCCAGCCACTGCCTGGTGGTGTGTGGGGAGAAACTGCTCCTGTGAGCACATTGTCCTTTCTGGGTTTTTTTTTTTTTACCGTTTTCCACTGAAGCATCTGGCACTGCCCATTGTCAGAGGTGAGAATACCTGTTTGCTAAGGTACAACTTCCACTGCTTTCTCCCTCAGCCACCTCTGCCATGGTGCAGTCGTGCAAACTAGAGCAGGTCCCCTGCAGTTGGTGGTAATAAATAGCCTGTCTGCCATACCATGCACTGCCAGGGCGAGAGCAGCTACTTTAGAAATGACACTTCTCAGAGGGGGACACTACCAACCTGTCCCCAGCCCAGTGCCCCTTCCTAGGTGTTGGGAAACTGCAGGGCAGTAACAGAATGGTGGAGGGCAGGCTGGGTTAGTGGGTTGCCCAGAACATATGTGTAGAACAGGGGTGGTTTTGCCCCAATTTGCCCACCTTGGTTGAGCCCCTCCACTTTGCCCCTGAAAAAGTGGGGGTGAGTGGGTACCAGTTAAAGTTTTGTTGAAAGGGGGAGGTGATTGTTTTTGGAATGGGTCCTTTTTTTTCGCATGCAAAAATATTTTTGTTTGAAGAACATTGGCCTACTCCCCCACATGATTGCCGGGCCAGGGGTGCTGTTCAGCACAAGCCCCAGAATGTCTGAATGTGCCCCACAGCTGCTAGCCTTTAATGTAACAGTGGGGGACTACAACTCCCAGCATGCAAGGTAGCCCACAAGCCCCAGGGCCGTACTCTGGGGCACAGCCCCTGTTGCATGCTGGGAGCTGTAGGCTCTGCCCCTTTGTGTTGAAGATGGAGATTGCTCCATTTTGTGCAAATATCACACAGGCTGTGGCTCCTGCCAAGCAACCAACAAAGCACTTGGCTCAGGTGCCCCCCCTCCCAGCCTTGTGGACAGAGTTGCTGGGGGCTGCAGCTGGGGTAGGTATAAGTGCACTGGGCAGTAATACACTCTTCTTAGGACAAAAACTTGCAAAGCTCCTGTTAAGCCCCCACAAACCAGCAGGCAGCTGTGGCCAACCCCTCTCCCAACTATGCACCCAGCCACCATATAACTTCCAGACCTGACAGAGTTCTCCCACCTGTGACCTGGTCACTGCTCCCCCACTTCCATCCTGGTGGCTAGGAGCAGGAGAAGCACCTGCTGAGCAGAGGGAAGTTCTGGAGTTGCAGCATGTAGGGCCTGGTTGGGGAGCTGGGCCAACTGCATGGTAGGATGTAAAGACCAACCAACCAACCACAGAAATGGGAGGGGAGGTAACCACCAGCCTCCTACTGCTAAAGCTCCTGCCCCTCCCATTGAGGGTAAGGCTGGACTTTTCCTACAACTCCCCCCTTTAGACACCAAGCAACCGTTAGATCAATTAGCCCATCACAGCTGCCCTCTGGCCAACAGCAGCCCTGATGATTGTGAGGTAGTGCAACCTCGCAAGGTCCAGCAGCTGCCAGCACCCTCCCACAAGCTGGCTCTGCTCCTGAAGGCCCATCCATCTGAGTTGGGTCCTGGCTCGTTCTATCCCCCAGAGAGGAAGGGGCAGCCTGAGAATGCTCTGGCAGCTGTGATTCTACAGCAGCCCAGGTGTACAGCAAGCAAGGGCAGGGTTTACAGGGAGCGAATTAACCCCCAGAAGACAACCTGCAGGAGCTACATCTCTCCAGCGTGCACTGGCTCCAATACTGGGCCTTGGCAGGAGGAGGGTGCCACTCTGTGGCAAGGTTGGAGTCCTACACCTCTTCCATCCCCTTGGAGAGAAGCACAGGGACACTCCCTGCCCCGCAGCAGCTCTCCAGCCTGCCAGGTGGCCATGGGGGAAGGGTGAACTCTTCCCACACTGGCTCCATTAGGCCTCCTGCTGAAGACAGCAAGTCAAGTCAGATCTGGTGCTTCCTCTGCACCTGTGTTCCAGGACTAAGATCACCAGAGCCAAGGGAGCCTAGGAGAACACAGAAGCTCTTCCACAGTGTAGTTTTTAGACTACCCAGGCAGGGAAAGCAGCTACTAGCTCAAGCGGTAGATACTCAGCCATTACCTCGGAGGGTCCAGGTCAGCCCACAGCACAACAGGAAGAAAGCCCCTGAACTCCAGCTCCATTAAGGACATTACTACTTGTGCACTGAATTCGGGGTGTGCAAATTGGAATGGGATCTTAAAGTTCCTGGGGAGAGCAGGCTGAGGGCACAGGTTGCTGCTCAAAGACTTAGGGCAGTGTAGACTAGCTCCATTGTTGAGACAAGACTTGCGCAAATCTCAGCAGAGGCAGGACTCCCGATTCTGCCTTGGCCTTCCATAGCATTTGTACATGTGCAGCTGCCCCCTACCCATTGCTGAAAAAGGCAGAGGTGAGCTAACCCAGCTCCTCAGGAAGCCACTGTCAACGTGAGGTAGGTGCCCTCCACATGGGAAGCTGGAGGGTAAGCAACAGAGCAGGACGCGAAGTGGCTAGGAGCAGCAGAGACAAAGGAGCTGCAGCCCCAACCCCTGCCTTCCCTTTCAAGGACAAGCCCAGTTCCCTGCACTTGGCACACAGCCTGAAGTTTAGCAGGTGCTACTCTAGCAGCCAAATACACACGTGCCAAGCAGGGGCAACAGCATCGCAAGCCCCAGCCTCAGCTCCCGCTCCAGGGCCTTTCCTTAAGCTGACCCCCAGGGCAGGGGTATGAGTGCTTGGGGCTGCAACTGCTCTGAGCAGTTCTCAGAGAGAGAGCAGGGCCTTGAATGCAGCACTCAGCCGCCACAGAGCACTGCTCTCCACAACTGGTGCTGCAGTGGCCTGTCTCCCCCACACCTGCCATCACTCCCTTTGGGTGCTGCAGGGACTCCCAACATAACCCAGACAAGGCAGCCGCTGTGTAAACCGCATTCTCTATTTGATACTTTAATTAAATTTCAGTAGAACAAAAAACCAAACGGCCGACAAAATACAACATCCTACCCTAGGATGCAGGCAGCAGCCAGGGGGTGGGGATTGGGCTCCCTGCTGTGCTTGGGGGGAGGGGGCAGGGATGCTCAAGCTCAGTGCTCACCCCAGCTGGGGCGGGGTGGGTGCTTAGTGCCCAGGAGCAGCACAAGACCCCCCATGGGGGAAAATCAGAACCCATCAGCACAACCCACCCCCCCAAGCAGCTGGTTCAACACAAGCAGAAAGACAGATGGACCAGACAGGGCTGGGACCCTGCCACCCCACCCACTACTGACAGTGGGAAACAAGTGGGGAAACACAACACTAGGGGAGCCGAGGAGTCAGTAGCAGTTGCAGAGGCCAGGCCCTGCCCCTTCCAAGCAGAGATGATGCAGGGAGCTAAGATGGGAGGGGGAATGGCCCCCTTTAGTCCACCTCCTCCATGCGGGATGCATCTTCCTCCCCCTCCAGTGGGGGGATCTCATCAGGGACCGCAACACTGGGCTCCTCTGCAATCACCTCATCCTCATCGATACCTGGGGAGGAAGGGAGATGTGCAGGCCGGTTACTTTGAGGGCCACCCCCAGGCTATATCACACACAGACACATTGTGAGTGTGGCTAGGCCAGGGCCCTCTCCTGGAGGGCTGGGCAATGCATTTCCAGCCAATTTAGTCACAGCAGAAAACCAGCTTTCCATCAATGCTCTTTTGTGCATGCCAAAGCGCGTCTGCTTTCCCTGGAAAACGCACACTGCCTGTCAACAAGCCATGGCCTGAAAACCACCTTTCAGTTCAGAAATGCCGCCATGGTGCCTCCTGCCCCCATTCTCCTCCATGGGCCAAACTCACCAAGGGATTACATTCCCCATGATGCACCACAGGAGCTAATGG